AATACAGCCAACGGTCTAACCACTTAAGCTACGAGGCCCCGCCGCACGACGCCAGTTTTATCACATTTGGATCAATTTACCCGCCCAACCTACCGCAACGTCTGGAATCCACCAAATCAGATACAGTAAGTTGACTGCCCAAACAGGATTTCCTAAGTAATTCACCTACAATCCACCAGATGACTACTAGGCTCACGTAATTCACAGATGTTTTGGCAGATTTTGAATAATTCATACTGAGACGCCGACTTTTTTCACAATTGGGTCAATATAAATTATTTCATGAGTCTCTTAGCCTATCGTAAGCACAGTAAGCACTGCAAAGAACAATATTTTATCCAGTCTTTTGTTAATGGAGAAATATAATTATTTGCCGGCAAATTCGGCACCGTTTGAGTACGCGAAGTAATTGGTAAACTGGCGTCTCGGTTAGGCGTCATAGCCTGCCAAATAAGGCTGGACAGCCACTTTTTGATGAGTCGTTTCCGTTAAATCCAGACGAAAAAACTGTCAACAAGATGGATCTGACAGTGAATGATTAAGAAGCCGATACTCGCTTCTTGGAGCCTAAATTTCTGATACCAAAACGCGAGAAGAATTTCACAACGGCCAAATCGTAGTTTTAAGAACTATAGCTAAAGTTATTAGACTTAGTACTGATGCCAGAAGGCGGTGTGGGACGATTACGGATGACTACGGGCAATAAATACCAAATATCTCGTGTTGCTCATCGTCCACCGTTGACTAGACGGCACTCTTCGGCCTTAGATAATTTGCGTAGGTTGCCGAGGTTGTTAACTGAGACATGACACAGGAAGTGGAATCATTGTCTTTATCAGTATTGGTTGCATATGTAAGACGGCGGCGGTAGCGAACGGTTCACAAAATCATCGCAAAACGAGTGACAAGGTAGATAGAAGTTCGAAAAAGACGAAATTTATTCCTTGCAGTTTAATAAATGCTTAAGGGGCATATGTATCATATCCATAGGCTCCCATACTCCTACCTTCTATGAGCTATCGAAAATGCGTTAACCGGGAGCGTCGTCTCGATCGATTCTGTCAATGCCGAACTCCCCCAACCATACGGTCATTAGTTAAATAAAGAGATTGGATTCGGCAAAGTATTGCAATTAATGCGGTCATGCGCGCTCATTTAAGCAGTGAAATTGAAGTCTTTAATCTATTAAAGGGCACCTGCTATCCTTGTACGTGTAGGACCCGCTTACTAATTTACCTCTGAAGTAATTTGAGTACGTTCACCTGAATGATGCTGGAGCCATAACAATTGCAGAAGTTGCCGGATTATAGCGCCCAGAACGTAGAATCTCCATTCAATAGACAGTAGGGCCTCGAGGATTGTAAGCGTCTGCTATGTCAGGATCAGCAAATAATGGTCCTTGCAGACTCGCGTGCGCTGGCAGTTTTATGGCACCTGGTTCCCTGCCGGTAGATGTTCCTGCGCCCCGCAGGGTAAACCGGTAGTGAGCATGGTTTTCCAGTCATCCTCATCTTCCTTCTGATCTGTTGTGATTTTGTTGTTGTTGTTGTTTAAAATCCTAGTTAAGTGTTTGTTGTGGACCAGGGGATGTTGTGGCAGGCCTAGTTGCGGGAGCGGCCACGCCAGCCACCTGTGCCGTCCTCGCCTCCGGTCTTCTTGACTCTGTCGAGTGGGAGGAGGAGATAGTGTGGTAGATGCTGGATAGGTCCACTCTCACTATAAACTAGCCCACGCGCAATTCACCTCACTGTGGAGCACACGGTGGACATCATCCTACCCGACGTCGCACTATTAGCCAGATTTACATACGAATTGGCGGCACAGCTTGAAGCAGCTCATTAGGGCCAATTCGTATTGACATCTTTGTTTTAAGACATGAGCGAAAATTGTCTCAAAATCTGCAAAGAATTACAGCTTTGCCTAAGTTCTGTGACGATGCCCATTTACGCATTGAGGAAGTTCAAGTCCGTAATATTTGAATGTTAGGAAATTCATCATTATTGTTTTATTTGTCTACAATAACGCATTGCCAATAATGAATACATGCTGAACATGACGATGCTCGATTCCCATTTCTGAGACTCTACGTCCAAACTGGGCGAACGGTGCAGGAGTTGCCGAGTTAGTTGCATATGGTCTAGCCCTTCTGTAGGACCTAAATGTAACTGGGTAGAATAACAACTATAGAATTTATCATGAATTCTAATACTCGCCTGCAAATTCTTTGCATCCGACGA